GTTGCCCTGACAGACCGGTTTCACTGGAAAAACACCTAACAATGAATAGTTTCAAATACATTAATAGATGATTTTGATAAAGAAAAAAAATCTGGAATAGAACCCAAAGTAGGAATTCAGTATCCCGTTTCATATATTACAAAAAGAAATTACAGTAGAACCTTGAACATTCAAGAATATCACATAGGTTTGTAGAAAATTAGCACTTACCCTTCTAGAAGAATGAAATATTCTAGGAAATATTAAAAAGGCAGAATATTATACTTCTCTGGATGAGAAAAGGAGAAACATGCTGTTGGAGAGCAGCCCCCACCTTTCTTAATAGCTCCAGAAAGACAGCCATCCTATCTACAAGACAAAAGATGTTTAGCTCCAGGTCACTCAGATCCAAGCCATTAAGCCATAATAGGAATTGCCCAAAGCCCCTTCATTACATCACCCAGCAAGACTTCAACCAAGCTTGGGACTCAAGACAACCTACAAAGTTACCCCTGCGTGGCCCCATGGGAGTTTGAAACCAATCAGGATACATTTCTTGCCACAAGAACAGGAAGCAAGTTCAGCGCCCAACTGAGGGTATAAATCTCTCTCCCTCTCAACAATGTGGTTTTTTTTTGCCCAGGACCTCAATGTGGTCTGTTCACAATTAAACCATTTTTCCATGCAGTCTCCATGTTTCCAGTGTCTGTCTTCCCACTGGAACTGAACCCAGATGGACATTTCTTCCAACAGGTTCATGAGTAGACTTTTAATAAAATAACAATATTAAAATTCCCATTAAACAGTTGTTCTCTTTGTCTCAATTAATTTGATATGCCTGATTCCAGGCAAATTCAAATTTCAAGTTTCAAATTCGAGTTTCCAATTTAGCCCAGTGTTTCTTGCAACTCTAGTTCCCAGTTTCTTTCTCTGTTTCCCGGTCCAGAGACTCAAAGCTTTGTGTGCTTGCAAAGGGGACAGTTTGAATCGGAGTGATTAGCTCCATTTCAAACCATTCCCTTTGCAAGCAGACAAAATTTCATCTCCCTCTTGGTGAAAAGTGTTTGGGGCTACCACCGGCCCTGCCTTCTCCATCCCACTGTCTGCTTGCGCGCGGTCTCAATCAAGGCCAAAGTCCCAGCACGTTCTGGTCTCCACCCATCCTGCCAGGAGGCCAAAGAGCCCCCACGAGGGCTGCAGCCGAGAAGTATCCCGGCAGAAGCTGGGCCAGCGGGCAGGGTGGGTGGAGGCTAAGACATGCTGAGAATTTGGCCCGTTGCAACCACAGGCAAGCAGACAGTGGAATGAAGGGGCTGGGGTCAGCAGTAGTTGCATTTTCACTCCCATTACCCTCACAATTGCCACCTCCTGCACTTTAAAAAAAATAAAAGTGCTTATTTTCAAGTGAAAAGAAAATAAGACTGGTCTTATTTTGGGGAAAACACGGTAGCTTCTAGAGCAGTGGTGTCAAACTCAAAACCCGCAAGCCAAATCCGGTCTGCAGGGTGCTTACATCTGGCCAATGGGGCCACCCTGGAAATGGCAAAGGACTGGCCTGTAGTGCCTCTGCCAGCAAAAAATGAGCTCAGGAGGGCTGTACATGCCCCCACTCCCCAAGCTCTGTTATCACTTGCAGGGGGCTAGCAAAACAAACTAAAAACAAAAGGAGAAATGTTTCCCCTTTTGCATTTGAGCATGAAGGGACAGGAAAGGAGAAAGGGAAAAAGGAAAGACAAAGAAAAAGAAGGGAAGACAGCAAGGAAGGAAAAATAAGGCAAGAGGGCAAGGAAGAGGGAAGGAAAATGAAGAGGGAAGGAAAAATAAAAGGAAGGAAAGGAGGAAGATTATAATGAAAGTGAGGGTCTGAGGAAAGTCCTGCCTTAGACTTGGCCACCACAGGTGCCCCCAAAACGAGTGTTGTTGAGCTGGCCACACCCAACCCAGCCATGCCTACCTCGGCCACCTGAGGTCAAATACAACCCTGATGCAGCCCTCAATATAATGGAGTTTGACATCCCTGTTCTAGAGTCATGAAAAGCACACACTACCATCATCTAAGTGCATTTTAGTGGAGTACATCTTAATTTTTCAATAGGAGGGCGTTCATTTATGTTAAGAATTATATTTTGTTTGTTAACTTGGTTGTTCTTGGCTGCAATAAAGATGAACATATAACTCAAACTTGAACTGTGTTATCAGTAGTTCTTGCTAATACTCTTAATTTTTTAAGTGTGACACAATGATGGCAAAATAGGGAGAAGAATTTGCTCCGAAATGAATTATTTCCAGTTATTCTTTAACTGATTGTCACTATCTGTTTCAAACTACCAATATTGCTATTACCTCAACTTTTCTCACTATAGTTGTACCTTGGTACTAGGCACTAATTGTTCTGGGAGGTGTGATGGGTTCTAAAAAAACAAGTCCCAAAACATGTGACTTACCATGTAACCTTTATTTCAGCTGGGAAGAACTTTCTCTCTGTCCCTTTTCTTAGTCAGTGACCTTCCTAGCATGGCTAACTTCTTGTCTGTTCCCCACAGCCGTCCCCCTCTTCCTATTAGTACTGAGTACTAAACAAAGGCCAAGGACTAGGGCAACATTTTCATGTCAAAATGCATGGAGTATCAAATATGATGAGTTTTGAAGCAGTCGAATACTGAGGTACTACTGTAACACTCCATATTCCTAAACATGTCTTTCCACCACCTCCTGCAAACACAACCCAAAACTGGATTCATTATAACTGGAAAATTCACAGAGAATGATTTACACTGCTTGGCAAACACTGAGGGGTGGGGAAATTGTACAGAAATGTAGCTTTTCTCCTATCTGAAACATCATTCCCACTTCTACCACTTAGAACTGGCATCCCCAAACTTGGCAACTTTAAGATTTCTGGACTTCAACTTCCAGAATTCTCCAGCCAGCGATGCTGGCTGAGGAATTCTGGGAGTTGAAGTCCACAAGTCTTAAAGTTGCCAAGTTTGGAGACCTCTGACTTAGAATATGTGTGAAATCTATCAGAGAATCTAGGGCAACAAAGGAAACAGGTACATTACATTAAAAATTACCCAGTCTTTTTTTTATGTCTTTGCTCCATTCAGATATAGTTATAACATCTCTGTTTACAAATATTTTATTGCAGGGAAAGTGACATTTCTAGGCAAGTTCCAAGTAATACGGGTTATACTTAGGCAGATTACTTTGCTTTACATTTAAGAAAATGCATTCCCATCTAGCAAAACTGACTTACATGAATAGAAGGATAACAGAAATATATGAAACAGACGGAGCTTTATTATCATTCACCAATAAAAGTACACTCAATAAAATGAATAACACAAAACTGTCCTGTTAGGAATGTAAGTCACCTAACAGTTAGTTGGGTTGGAAAATATATAAACCAGGATAGACATTTTAAGACAGTCTCTTTAAGAGAATGCTAAAACTGTAATTGGATATGGTTCCTCAAATGGCCATAAGATGGAGCCAGAAACCTGGGTTGTTCAGTTCCTGTTCTGTTGTTCTGGTTCCTATTGACTATTGATTGTTTACTGATCATAGTTCGTCTTGGATTTGATGTAAGTCTGTTACTGAACTGTTTTTGATACTGGACTTTGTTATTTGGATTATCCCTGGACTGAAAACTGACTGTTTTAACTATGAATGACTTGGACTGCTTGTTCGGACTTTGCTTAAATGTTTATTGGAAGTAAAAACCTACATTTTACTATATAGTGTATCTGTGTGCTAGTTGTGTGTTATTCTTCACTACTCTCACTACGTTTCCCTGGTCGCACTCATTCTCCTAACGGGGAATTACCTCAACATGTCCCCTAACAAGAAATATTAACAATCATTTATGGGTGAAACTTACACATAATATAGTAAAATGTTGCTACTTTTAGAGAAATAAAGTCTGTTTATATGTGCAGACTTAATCGGTAAATTATTAAAGGCACAAAGATGAAATTGTAATGCCAAAATCTATGTAGGTTGGGATTGGCATTAGGAGAATAGGACTTCTGTGGATTCAAAAATAAGCCCAAATTGCAGCAAACAGGAGAAGAAGGCCAACTAACTTAAACCAAAGGGGCACTAAGGCATTGTTGTCTGATTCAGTAACTAGCCTGGTTTGCAAGGGTTTCAAGATCCGTTCATGCTGCATCAGGATAGCTTTCCTGGCTCCCTCCCATTTTCCTGGCCCTTGCAAGCGATACTGATACGGAGTACATGCCCCAAAGAAAAGCTCCTGGGCCAGCTTAGGATCTGTGATAAACCGGGACCATATGCTGGGCTTGACCCCAATCAGAGAAGCCAGTTCATCCATATAATCTATGAAGTCCACTTGGATGGTGTGGCGTTGACTTTTCACATATCTAAAAAAGACAAGCAGGAGGAGAAATGATTAACAAAGCAGTCCAACTCTATAATGCCTGGATGGCTTATAGTAAAAACAATAACAACATACAATTTATAAAACTCAAACAGCAAAAGAAAGAACAACCAATGAAGAAGAGTATAGCATAGAAAACCCAAGGTCTGGAGAAAGCAGATTTTCAAGGCTCTTTTAAACATGGGAGTGGGGCCAAGTGTTTCTTAGTGCAGATGTTCCAGAGGACAGGGACTGCAAGGATGAAGATACCTAGAAGATACCTGACCTCAGAGAAGGGTTTAAACTGGATAAAAAATGGATTTGACTTTGTTAAAAATGAATTGGAAATTCCATTATGTGGCAACGATGAATATATTATTACTAAAATCAATAAAATGTTATTGAACTTAAATTTGGAAAATGAATATTATATGATTCACTGAGCAAGGAACTTTGGATACAATGTGATACTTGAACAATGGGAAAATATGTGGATGAAGTTTAAAATTCACATTAAATTACAATCTAAAAGAACAAATGTATAAGATAATGTATTGTTGGTATTTAACACAGATAAGTTATCTAAGATGTATAAACATATGATTCATATTTTAATACAAAAAAATGTGAAAACGCAGATGAAAATGAAACCAGAAATTTTCCTTTTGTGTTTAATGGAAAAAGAAGTAGAGAAAAAATTGGAACTTTGTTATTATATATGTTGACAGCAGCAAGGCTATTGTATGCACAAAAATGGAAGGACGCTTCAATTCCTTCTACGGATGAATGGTTGCAGAAGTTGATGGAATTGGCTGAAATGGCAAAACTGACCACTTTGATTAAAGAAAAGAATATAAGTACTTTTGTTTCCACATGGAGACTGCTTCTGAACTTTGTGCTTGATGTGGAGAAGAATGAAACTCTGATTTTGGGTTTTACTAATTAGACTGATAGATTTTTATAGAAATGGCTTGCTCATATTGTTATGAAAAGCAAAAAGCTGTGATTTGATGTTAATGCCTTATTTTACTGTAACAGAGAGACTCAGAGGTCAATGGTTCTTTTTCTTTCTTACCTTTTCTAACTTTTCTTTCCCCTCTCCGCTTTTCTATTTCCTTTGTATTTTATATTTTATAATACTTTATAATCAGTGGTGGGATTTAAAATTTACTACCACCGGTTCTGTGGGCGTGGCTAGGTGGTCATGTGACCGGGTGGGCGTAGCCAACTCAATGTCACTCATGGCATGGTCGGGTGGCATCTTGCTGAGTGATGTCGAGTTGGCCACGCCCACTCAGTCACATGACCGATGCTGCAGAGACAGGGTAATTCCCTACATATGGGAATTGGGCTGACAAAATAAAAGCCAATCTGAAGATTGCGTGTGCTTTCCGAGTCTGCCTGCCGAATGGTTTTGTTTTGCGGTGGTGTTGGTTTGTTTGTTTGTTTTGGTCAGAAGCCCCTCAGAGATGCACTATTTTTGTACGGACCAATTTCTGCACCGTCAAATCTTACTGTACTTCATTGTTGCAACATTGCTTGTTTCTACTGCAGGCGCTGTGGCGCCGTCGGGCTACCCAAGTAAAGAACCACACCAGCTCATCGAAGTACCTTAAAGAGGCAGACTGCGGCAGCTGCCTTCGCACTGCGAAGGGAGGCAGAAAAGTTCGGCAACTCTTCTCCTCCTTCTCGGGCATACACACAGAGCGTGCACCCATTTCATGGTGCAAGAGGGACTCGTCCATGTGCCGTCTCCTCACAGAAGATCCTGGCGCCATGAGATGTGTGCACGCTCTGTGTGTATGCTCAAGAAGAAGACTTGCTGAACTTTTCTGCCTCCCTTCCCAGTGGAGATGCTCGGAAGGCAGCTCCTGCGGCCTGCCTGTTCCTTTTTGGTCCCTCTCTCCCTCCTGCATCGAAGTACCTTAAAGGTCCTGCTGCCTTCTGAGCAGCTCTGCTGCGAAGGGAGGCAGAAAAGTTCAGCCAAGACTTTTCCTCCTTCTCGGGCATACACACGGAGCGTGCGCACATCTCATGGCACCGGAGGGACTCACTCCGCGCCCTCTCCTTGCAGAAGGTATTCTCTGCATGTATGCCTGAGAAAGAGGAGATTTGGCTGAACTTTTTGCTTCCCTTTCTTCTGACACACACTGGCAAGGCAGGTGAGCAATGTTGCATGAGGCAAGTATCCTCCTAGCCAGCGTAGCCATGTGGCTTCCCGGCCAGAGGGGAAAACGCCCTCCCCGTTCTTCCAGCCAGCAGAGCAATGTGGCTTCTCAGACAGCATTCAGAGGCAAGCGGGAAGATCTGGGAAACATGGGAAGTTCCGGGAAATGCCGGGAACAGTGGGAAGGGGCAGGAAGTGCCGGGAAGCATTGGAAGCAGCACTGGAGGCTGAGTACAGTGGGGCGGGGCAGCTAGCTAGCCACACTGCGAGCACCGCATGTGATGGAAACGTGACACTGGCAGCAAAGCAAGCCAATCAAGCCCGGAGATGGGGGGGCGTGCAGCGGCCTAGGCCGGACTGGGAGTCAGCACTCAACTGGGGCTTGTGGCAGCAGAAACAGGTAGGACACGCCAGGAGTCGACTCGACCAGGGCTTGCACAATAACTCACCCAGGGAGATCAGGGCTGCGGCAGAAGGTAGGCAGCAATGGCAGGCGAAGGTAGGTTTGCAATGCCGCGGCAAGCAAGATGAGGAGTGACTGGGTGGGGTGGGTTGAGCAGGCAGGCGGGGCGAGAGGGGGGGAGGCGAGCGGGTAGGCAGGCGGAGCAGGCAGCAAGCGGGCGGGCCCGAGCGGCGACGAGGTGACCAGGCAGGTGGGGCCAGGGCCAGCCAGAGGTGGTGGTTGACGGTCCTACGAATTTCTGCTACCAGTTCACCCGGTCCAAACTAGCTGAATACCACTTCTATAACTCAATAAAGCGGCTATGCCCCTGTGACAGAGCTGAGGTTGAAACTGTGGAGCATGTCCTTTTATATTGCCCTATGTATAACGCAGGCAGATCTAAGTTACTGTCCTTGAAATAGACCCTTCTAGACCCAATGTTAGTAATTTGTTCTTATATTGTCTAGGGGATAGCTCCTCATATATCACTTCTTTGGTTTCCAAATTTTTTTTAGAGCTGTAACCCTCAGAGGGGAACGCTGTAATTCCCCTTAGTCAAGTTTTTGGTGACCAATTGTTCATGATTAGTTTTCCCATGTTCTTTTGTTGTACTTGTGTTTTGGTCTGTGACCCCAAATAAAGAAGTTTTATTATTATTATTGTTGTTGTTGTTGTTGTTATAGAGCTCAATAAAAATGTTAATGGGGACTATTAAAAAAAATCAAGACCTCCACAAAAATAAGCCCAAGTGTTTATTTTCAAACCCAAAAGAAAATAAGACCGGGTGTTATTTTTAGGGAAACATGGTAGTATCGACCTTGTTAAGGCTCAAGATTTGTTTTTCCACTATGTATTCAAAATTGACCATGATTAATATATATACTCTGTGTGTGTGTGTGTGTACTGTTTTGAGAGCAAACAACAGAGTTTCATTTTTAATGTGTGCCAATGTGTTGACAGAAAAAAGTGACAATAAATGTTATATTAACCCAAATGCATTGAAAAAAGGCTTTCATCTTCGTTTTTGTACATTTCTGTAGAGGTGCAGTAATTTCTTACATATAATCCAACTCTACCTCCTCCTTTGTTAGGTCTTTCTTTTAAACAATTTATCTCCTTCTAACAATACATTCCAATCATGGGCTTCATCCCACCAAGTCCTGGTAATGGAAACAATATTGTACTGCCCTCATGTACTA